CCTGTCACCTGGGGGCCCCTCACCACCCCCAGGGAAGCAGCATGGGCTGGGCCTTGCCCTTTTGCATTTCAGATTCGGCAGGAGTTTGCCTGCACTGCCAGGAAGGAGACTCTCCTCTGCTTGGGGGGAAACAGCCTCCAGCTGCAGGGGCTGTGGGTTCAGTCGCTGGGCCTGGCAACCTGCCGGAGCCTGGGGCCAGAGGGAAGCTGGCTGCCCCCAGCCCAGGACTGGCCTTCTTCTGGACCTAGCTGCAAGCCATTTGGTAACACAGAGGTCTCCCCAAACTGACAGCAGCCGCTCCTCCCGGTGTGGTGGAGGGTGGGAAGCTTTATAGCAAAAACAACAGCAATGATAATGATGACCACCAGTATTTATTACATGGTTTCTATGTTTTAGATGACATACTCACTCAACGCACCTTGCATGCATCGCTTCATCTAACCCTCTCCACAACTGGCTATGACAGAATCTGTGTGCTGTTTGCATTTTACAGATGAAGACTCTGAGCCTCAGATAGATATAAGAGGTCCAAAGTCACACAGCTAGTACAGTATATGACCTTTCCTTCCTCCCTTCCTTCCTTCCTTCCTTCCTTCCTTCCTTCCTTCCTTCCTTCCTTCCTTCCTTCCTTCCTCTAATATTTATTGGCCATCACTACCAGGCGCTGCGGTGAGGAGCCAGTATCTACATGCAGGCCTATCTGCCTCCTAAGTTTTCAGGCTTGACCCCTATCCTGCATAGGCTGAGCCTGGGACAGGCTCTCAAAGAAGATCCCATCACCTGTCCCCTCTGCTGGAGGCCCACTGGGGCTTCTGGCTGCTTGTAGACAGCCTAAAGTAGAATAGGATTTGGGCCCTTTACTGGAGCAAACTGGGGAGCTCCGTAGTCCCCAGAAACCTGCAGCCCGCTCTCCCTGTCTCGTGCGCCTGTCCAGGCTGTCCTGCCACCAGCAGGCACCAGAACTGGCACAATCTCAAGCTGCATCTCCGGGGACTGGGAGCCACCAATCCTGGCTTTTCAAATTGTTGGTAAACAAGTCTCCCCACCAGCCAAGCCTGGGCTTCACGCTCCCCCAGGAGGCAGCCAGCACTGGATTTATGAGGCCTCCGAACCTCATTCAGACTAATGCAGCTTTTCATTCCAAAATAAAAGGGGCCGCTGTCTGAAAGGACAAGTACTCCTGCATTTCATTAACATCTCCAAAAAAAAACCAAAAAAAAAGCCGAGCTGGCCCAAGTCGCTGCCAGCCAGATTCCTGTCTCCCACCAGCTCACAGGTGGGGGTAGGAGGAGAAGAAACCTTAGGCTGTGGCCTCTCTGGGCCACTCCCCAACGCCCCCCCTACCCAACCCTCCCCTCCCAACCCTCAGCTTCTGCGGGGGCGGGTGGGGTGGGGAGTGTAGCGGTGGCCAAGCAGGCTCACGTGGATGAGTCCCCCCTGTGCGTGTTTTGTTAGACTCATCCACTCCAGCTCTCAATCCCCTCACAATCACTGTGAGTGATGAGGCCCTGGGCTCGAGTTACCGAGATTCATGATCTCCGCTTCCCTGGGAAACCAAGGAGCACACGCGTGCGGTTAGCTGAGTGCAGATTCCTAGGACTTGAGTGCCCTCTGCTGAAGCCTGCCTACCTTCATCTCCCTTCAGGCTGCCTGGTGGGCAGGCTGCTGGTGGTGGCTGGACGCTGAAGCCAGGGGTCTCTGGACACTCCCCTAATGTCCCAGTAGCAGGCTGCACCTTCACAGCCGTGCCTTGGTGTGAATGGGGGGAGAGGTTACCTCACCCCCATCTCATCCTGGAGGGGGGGCCAGGACTAGAAAGAGGCAGCTGCCAGCTGCCTGGTCTTTGCTAACTGCCTGAGCAGGGAGGAAGAAGAGGGGCCTACCTCATACCCACTCTTATCAGCATTCTCTCTCCATCAAAGTTCGTGACAACCAAAGGAGCCAAGCCTTGGCCCTTCACAAGATACTGTGACCTACCCCTTGGCCCAGGGACAGGGACATTTTTATCAGCCTGGGGCCTTTGTCCCTCATCCCTGGCCCAAGAAGGAAGAAGCAGGGCAGCAGCTGGCTGCCACGTGAGCAAGCCACAAGCCCAGTGAAGGCTGCATCACCTTAGATTTTTGTC